TTCGCCCCTTTCTTATCCTGATGATCTTCTAACGTACCACACCTTGCATAGGTGGCTTCAATAAAGGAATATTTGGAAGATCTGTTAGTGCTGATATACAGCTTGCGAGAGAATTAAATTATTTTCAGTTTTTTTTTTTTTTTCTTGTTTTCAGTCAGTTTTGAAAAGGTAATATCTTTCCAGGGACTGCTTGAGAAGTATTAGCGGGCACTTTTTGTTCTTTGCAACATACTTTTTTTCAACTTTCCGACCGCTTTCTAGTATCTTCGTTTGTGGATGTTTTTGATTTTGACTTAACTTTGTTATTTTGCGCAGCTCAGCAATCATATCAGAAAAAAGTATGCGAGAAAATGCTGCTAATAATAATACGCGATACGATGCAACCGTCATTTTGGATTGCATTCTTGCCCGTGACGCCCCTCTGTTGTTGTTGGATTCAGGCTTCTTGGTGTTTTTTAAATATTGCATGGGTACCATTCAGCTGGCGTAAAACTATTCGAGCCGGTTTTTCTAAAATATACCGTTTTGAAGAATTGGATTAATGGTGATATTCCTCATCGCGCGCATCAGGATATAAGTCATAGTTTGAATTATGATTTATATCATGATACGCGCAATAAATGAGGAATAGAAAGAATATTATTAATACGATAAGTTTATTGATCAAAAATGAGCTGTGGTATATGCATAGTTTAAAAAAGACCATTTTAAACAGGATTAATGAATTAATTTACAATGCTTGCAAAGGAGAGGCCAAAAAAAAGAAAAAATTACGTGAGGCCACTAATTTTCGCTCCCAAGTCCACCTGCAGAATGAGGAACAGTCCTAAAATACTGTTACAGTTAGCGTAAAAATTTGTAAAATCGGCCAAAGAATTTGTCTCTTTTTTTTTTCAGGATAAAGTTGTCTGTGAACGATTACGATCAATTTTGTGCGGTGAACAAACAATAAAACATCATATGCAATTTCTGATCAAAAACAACCATACAGATATGCTAATTCTGAAGCAAACCAAAGAAAGTGTGCGTACAGCATCGACACATAATGCAACTGTTATTGCCAACGGTATAATGCATCTTGGAACAACAACTGATGACTTCTTGAGGTAGGTACTTCACTGAGCAGTTTTTTTTTGAAGTTTAACTTGGCTTGACTCTAGGGTGCGATTTGTCGTATCGAAAACGAGAGCGATGTTACAGTACTCAAAATAATTGATTCGTCGTAGATCGAATATTATCATTTTATTGTTATCATTATTATCATCAGATTGTTATTATTATTATCATTGTTATCATCAAATTATTATTATTATTATCATTATTATTATTATTACTATTATTACTGTTATTATTATTGTCATGATCATCATTTTCGTCATCATCATCATTATGATTATT